TTTTGGGTCGGACTAATTAGGACGACTTAACGAGGTCGGTAGTCCATGCGAATCCGGGCTAGTCCCATTTAACTTAGTCCATAGCCATGCCAAACGTAGGTTATTAGTCTTAGCTAGTCTAATCCTAGCTAAGGAGGTCAAACAAGGGAGCCCTTAGTCTTTTATCACATTGACGTAATTTCAAGAAACAAAATTTTGTCGTTTTTTGTTTAAGCCTCACTTACACGTGAAAAAAAAAAAATTTCTCTTCTGCACTCCTTACTCCCATGTTCTCTCTCACTTTTCATCTCTCATTCAATTTAAAAAACAAAAATAAAAAAATTTCACACACAAAAAATGTGGAGATACACTAGTTAATATTAATCACTCCTGCCAACCCACTTTATTGCATTACGTCACATGAATTACTCTTACCAACCCTATGTCATATTATATGGGTCAACTTGGACCATGGCATTCAAATAAAAATCAATTTATAATAAGGTTCTAAAAAACGCTCAATGCTAATTGGGCAGCGGGTTGGGGCCTAGTGCTTAGATGGCTAAGCAAGGTCAGGCGGGCGCTAGGCGGACTAGGCAGAATTAATTAAATTTAGGGAATTGTTATTAGCATTCCAAAAATCTCATTTGGCACTCCAAACTTTTTATAATTAAAAATAAAAATACACTAATGAGGAGTGTATAATAAGATTTTTGAAGTGCTAATAATAGTTCCCTAAATTTATTATATTTCGTGTAAATAAGTGTCTATCTATACTTAAATTATATATAATTTCATTATAAACTACAAAATAGAATGACATATATATTATGAGCTATTGAAACATAATGAAAATATAGGAAACAAGTATATAATGTGTGTTCATTTAAATATTCAACAAGTCTCTTACAATTTATTGAAAAAAAATAAAATGCAAAATGAAAGTTATCTATTTTCTGTCTAAGTGAGTCACAACCTAGGCAGGGTCTTGGCAGGCTAGGCGATCTAGGTGGGCACCTCAGTAGGTCTAGGCGTCATTTCTTAATTTTTCAAACACCTAGACATTAATCAAGATGGTAACCAGCCTAGCACCTCCTTTAGAATAATAGGCGCTAGGCGAGAATTTTTAGAACAATGATTTATAATAGGTTACGATATTAGTTATCCTATCATCATTCGTTCACACTAAAACAAATCAACGTCTCTAATATGAGTAAAATAAATCAGCTTTCCAATGTTACAAATTGATCGACATACACTATTTTTATATAGTTTATGTCAGTACTAATAATCCTTACGCAAATGTGTGACTGATGATCGTTGATAATAACATTAACTCTTCACGATTGTTCAATGAATCCTAACATATCAAATTATCTAGCGCCATTAAAATGTGAGACCATTTGATATAGAACACCTAACACAATTAACCTTTACCTAACACTATCAAATTATTAATTTTTTTTTTTGATAGACATGTAACACCATATGTTGAGGCCTAAAAGGAAATTTATATAACTAAAATTTCTAAAATTTTCTCTTCTTTAGAATAATAAGTTACTAAAAAAAAAAAAATTGTTATTAGCACTTTAAAAATTGTATTTGCATTTCAAACTTTTTATAATTAAAAAGAAAATGAAAATTTTAAAATACTAATAACAATTCTAAAGAAAAAAAAGGATTAAATAGAAGTAACAGAGTGACACTACTGTTTTCAAATTCCATATTTCCCAAAGCAGAAGACTTCTGAAAATATTAGAACTTTAGAAGTTGTAGACTTTTCGATGCTTTAATCGAATCTCTCCTCACAGAGGTCCAGATCTTGCTGTCCCAATTCCCAAATCGAACCAATCGATCTCAAACTCCTAGGGTTTTTTCTCAATTCCTTCGCCCAGAAGCAACTATGGCTGTCAAGCCACGGCACGCGCGCCTCCCGGCCCGCAAAACGTCTTCGCGGTCCACAACGCTGGTCCTGACCTCGCTCGTCATGTTCACCTTCGTCATCCTCATTCTCCTCGCCCTTGGCATCCTCTCCGTTCCCAGCGGCTCCTCCGGCAGCTCCTCCAAGGCCAACGATCTCAGCTCGATCGTACGGCACAGCGTCGAGAGGTGCCGATGAGTCGGTTTGCAGTCTTTGCTTTGATTGATTTGGTTGGTAATTCGGTAATTAAATTGAATTTTGTGGGTTTTGTTAGGAGTGAGGAAGATGGGGCAGGGGAGCAGTGGGTCGAAGTCATCTCGTGGGAGCCGAGAGCTTTTGTGTATCACAATTTCTTGGTGAGCTGAGCTGAAAATTTATGATTTTTCGGAAAATTTTGGATTGAATTTTCTTTTATTACCTTTGAAGTTACTGAATTGAGCAATCCATTGGAATGCTGGATTTGTTATAATTGTGCCAATGTATCTTGCATTATAGATGGTGTGAGTAAATAATTGAGTGTAATTTCTAATTTGTAATTGGTAATTGCATTGCATTTAGTTTTGGAAGAAATTAATGCTTCATAAGTGCCGGGATTTGATGTAATCTAAAGCCGGGGAAATTCTAACCCTGGTTGGCTAATGTTGGCAGACCAAGGCGGAATGTGACTATCTAATCGATCTTGCCAAGCCGACTATGCACAAGTCAACCGTAGTTGATAGTGAAACCGGAAAGAGCAAAGATAGCAGGTATTCATTTCTCACTTCATTCTCTGGTGTGATTTTGGTTGAATGACGTGGATGGGAAAATCTGTTGTCTTTGTTTTCATTCCCTTACTTAATCCCCTCATGGCGGTACAATTGTTTTACTTGTTTTATGCAGGGTTCGTACAAGCTCGGGAACATTTTTGGCAAGAGGCCGCGATAAAATTATCAGAAACATTGAGAAAAAAATTGCTAATTTCACCTTTTTACCTGTAGGTATGCTGTTGAGCTCATGTCTGCTCTCTTATTTATTTATTTTCTTGTGCTTTTTAATGATTTTTTTTTTGCCTTCAAAGTTGAAGGTACTACCTTTATGTGGGCTACAATCTTTAGGGTATTCATCTATTAATAGTGTAGCTTTGTGCGTTTCATACAATTCACAAGCTATTTTTAAACCAAATACAGAACACGGGGAGGGACTTCAGGTTCTCCACTATGAAGTTGGACAGAAGTACGAACCTCACTATGACTATTTTCAAGATGATTTTAACACTAAGAACGGAGGCCAACGTATAGGCACGGTTCTTATGTACCTGTAAGTTTCCTAGCATAGCTGCCTAAAATACTCATATTTCTGATCATCGACCCACTTATATCCTTCACAAATGTTTTCTCCTCCCATGTGGTTCAGCTCAGATGTGGAAGAAGGGGGTGAGACCGTGTTCCCTGCTGCCAAAGGGAATATTAGTTCTGTGCCTTGGTGGTATGAGCTATCTGAATGCGGTAAAAAAGGACTGTCGGTTAAACCCAAGATGGGTGATGCATTGCTTTTCTGGAGCATGAGGCCTGATGCAAGTCTAGATCCTTCAAGTTTACATGGTTAGTAGCTCACTTATAATTAGCTTTGCGAAGCATCAATTCAAGTTTCACTGATTCCAAAATGTCCACCATGGAATATGACATTTGTTTATCTGTGCTTTCTTTATCAATTTTGTGCCTATTTAAAATGTAGATATAAGAAAAATTATTTCTGCATCACAATTTTGTAACTTTTATTACTTATTCCCAAGTGTGCTAACCTTTATCAAGAATGAGTTAACTTACTCCGTTGTTTATTTCAGGTGGATGCCCTGTGATTAAGGGGAATAAGTGGTCATCTACTAAATGGATCCGTGTCAACGAGTACACTATTTGAACTATTTTACAAAAGGTAGCTATCTTTACCCAAAATAGATAACTAACAGTACTTATGGTTGCTACATTCTATGAAGCTACAAAATTCCGTTTCTCAATTTCCCAAAATATGCCATTGACTTGCTCTATGCTCTTGTTCTTGTGTATGTCTTGGTTTGGGTTATGCTGTTATACGCTATTTCTTCCCGTAAATTATATGTATTATTTTCTCAATGATTGGCAGGTACAAGTTCTTATGTTGGTGTGGTACTTGTCAATATCTCAAGCCAGAGCCTTTGTACTTGTGCTTCAAGTCTCATTTGTAACTTAGTATACGGATCGGTGCCTGCATGCCTTAGATTTTGATGTACTATCGTCTATAGCTGCTCTACTACTAATTCAATTTTGTTTGCATGAGCTTCTGTATTCTTGTTATGAGAACCCCTCGATGAAATAACTTCGATTTCGTTTCTTTTTTAATGGAAGTTCTTACTGTCTGAAGCTTTAGAACGTTGGGTTGATGAAAAGAAACTGTAAGGGATATTCGCGGAAGATCGAAAGCATTACATGTACTAATCATATGTTTGCATCTTTTTTATTGAAATTAATCCCTAATATGACTGGGTCAAGTTGCCCTATCATTTCACCTATTACAAAGAAGAAAGTGACATGATTTAATAAGTTGAGGTTTTAGGTTCGACTTTCTTTCAGTTGCCCCTGCAATTGTTGCCTGGGATTGCAGCTTGGGTCGCCGACTGTCAACGAAAACATAGGGGGGTCCACCACGTGCTGCCCACGAAAGCTTGCTTTCTCGCTCTTAGCTGTTGGATTTTCAACGGTCTTCTCATCTTGATCATTGGATTTCAACGTTAAAAAAATAAAAAATTATCGAAGGTGTTAGGTGGCACAGTTTAGTGCATCTAGCTTTAAAAGAAGATTAGAAATCAACCGTCAAAATTAATTCAAAGGTAAAAAAATCAAATTATCAGAGTTAGAGGGAGTTTATTTTTAAAGAACAAACTTAACGAGGCATGCCCTTTCTTCTCTTAAAGGGACGGACTTGCACAAAAGCAATTACTATTTGTAAAGACAATTTTACTGCCCTTGACCTCCTAAAACGAGTGAACTTGATTTAACGACTAACAATTTAACTCAATAATGCTATTGTTTATTAAAGAAAAATCCTAAAAGTTAGGAATATCAATTAATTTTAGGATATTTAATTGATAAGTTTTCCGATTCTCATTAGGACTGGAGGATATAATCATATAAAAGTTGAGCTCTCACCACGCTGAGCAAAAACCCTAGACTCCAAGTACCCTGTTCCTCTGAAAACACCACGACGTACAATACAGACAGACTTGACATGGCGAGTGGTGCAGATAATATCCCACGCGAACTGTTAGCGAACATCGGAAACCGCCTCAACAGTAAAACCGATGTTTCTAGATTCCGTGCGGTCTGTAAGTCATGGCGGTCCTCTATTCCTCCCTTCAAGAACCTGCTCCAGTTACCCTCAGAAGCGTGGTTTGCAGTCGGAGAGGATGGCATAGATAGTTATTGCGTAGGCTTTACCCTCGTCGAGAGCGCAGTCTATCATATCGCACCTCCCGCGGATGATGGTCCCCGGAAAAGAGGTTGGTTGATTAATGTCAAAGAAGTAGGTACTGATCAGTTGAGTGAACAACCAACTCATCGCATGTTGCATCCACTCTCCCGCTTATTTGGAGGGCAGCCCAAGTCCTTGCCAAAGGTATTCAACTTATTGGAATTTACGGTTTTTGAAGTGGCAAAAATGTATAGTCTAGTATACGATCATGAGATGCCTGATGATCATTTGAAGGTGGCCGCATCCTTGAATCTCGATTTCCCTGCTGTCATGGCGATTGATCCATTCGGAACGTTATATTACGGAGAGCTAGGTGGTGATGTCGTAGAGTGCATCAACTTCCCTTTGAAGTTGGACGACGTGTACCCTGGTTTTCAAGATGTTATATTTTACAAAGGAAGGTTTTGTGCTGTGTGTCGTGATGGGAGAGCTGTAGGGGTTGATTCTTGTCTGAATACGGAACTGATTGCTTCTCCATTAGCGAATAGCTCTTGCCGTGACGACAAGAGGAAGAAGAAGTTGGTGGAGTCGTTGGGAGAGCTGCTTTTAGTCGATATGTATTTATACGGCAAGCCGTCGGACTTTACATTCGAGATTTTTAAGCTGGACGCTCACAAGAAGCAGTGGGTTAAGTTTGAGGCTCAGGCTTTGGATGATCGAATATTGGTTCTCGGAGATGACGGCTGCTACTCCCTTTCTGCTCGAGATTTCCCGGGAGTCGAGGGGAGATGTATTTATTTCAAAGAGGCTCTTCATTACAGGAGTTACAAGTGCAATGAGTTGGAAAACATGTCCAGAGAAATTGCAGTGTACAGCTTGGATTCAGGCCGTGTCTCGCAGATAACTGATTTTCCAAGTTTGAACATATTTTGTCCACCCACAACCTGGAGATGGCGCATCATGAACAAGGCTGCGAGGAAGAGAAAGATGTGGTAAGAAGAAACGGACATTGTTCAAGTTCTTGTTCTTCATTGATTCATGTATCTCTTTCTTAACATCCATATTCTTTCTGATGGCAAATTCGTAACCAAATTATGCTGCTCATTATGTAGCTTAGCCGAACTCCTCCTCTCCCTTAATTATTGTACTTAAAACACATCCATACATCTTTCTTGATTGCACGTGAAATCTAATCGTTTTGCGGTCTAATCTAGTTCTCTGTATCAAAAGTGACCTAATACGATTGCGGTTAATTCCTTAATACGACTTGACAAGAGTCCACACAACCCTACGATCAACGACTGATTTCCACACGCAGCACAATTGTGTCGAAATTGAAGAATCTTGGCCCTAGTACAAGTGCTAGCGACTATCAATTAGAAAATTGAAAATTTATGAGCATGAGTCGCAAAATTGAAGGCAAGGTCGTATTGAATGCACTCCACACCTCCAATAAAAACCAAATTTAACCGTTAAAAACTGGAAAATTATGAATATTCCTACCAACATTCCTTTATTTATAATGTAGCTGGGGTCAGCGCTGGGATTGAAACATCGTCCTCTTGTTGCCGAACTGGGTCAATTATTTCAACTTGAGAGGATAGTTTTGGTAGAATGTTGATCAACACCTTATGGTTGTTGATCTAACTTTTGATCAGATTCCTGATGACATACTGCAAAATGCCCCCGTGGTCGAAATAGGCCAGCTCAACCTGCACGAAAGACGAAACAAGGGAACTCTGAAGCAACACGAGCTTGACAGGAAATGAAGATAGAAAGAAGCAAACGATAATGCAGCATGTTACCTCTGTATCGAAACGTAGTGTACATACGAAGGACTTGCCGTTATCTGTCACCACTGTGATATCCTGACCGGGTCTAATTTCACTAACACTACTTGGAAGATCGATGGTGTAGCGTTCCTCCCCAGTTAAACCAAGAGAGTCGGCATCCTCCCCAGTCTTGAAACATAGTGGAATGATGCCCATGCCAACGAGATTACTACGGTGAATGCGCTCAAAGCTCTTTGCTATGACCGCCTTCACACCCTGAAAATTATTATGATGCAAGACAGACTTCATTAGAAATAAGACAAACATATACTGGCATCGAATGGAGTAAGTAAGATACTGCTAAAGGGTATTACCAGTAGCATGGGACCCTTTGCAGCCCAATCACGAGAACTTCCACTTCCATACTCGGCACCAGCCAAAATAATTGTATCATGTCCTTCGCTTTTGTACCTCTGTCAATAAAAGTAAAGGAGTCAATATTACAAATTTAGGCCAGGGATGAAAGCATCAATATTAAACATCAAATAAGGAGGAAAACCTTCCCGAGGAACTAAAATGATTTTTCGATAACCTTTAGTAAAGGCTGAGATAGGAGGGCATTACCATAGCAACATCAAACACGGACAGTTTCTCTCCAGTGGGAATGTGGATTGTTTTGGGACCAACTTCTCCTTTCAAAAACTTATTGACCAGCCGAATATTTGCAAAAGTGCCTCTTGCCATAACCTCATCATTACCACGGCGACTTCCATAGGAATTAAAGTCTCTTCTATCAACGCCACGTTCCAGTAGGTATTTGGCTGCTGAGCTGTCTTTGTGAATACTACCAGCTGGTGAGATGTGATCGGTTGTAATACTATCTCCAAAGTTGAGCAAACAGTAAGCATTCTTCACTCCATGAGCGCCTGGGGGAGACATGGTCATATCCTTAAAATACGGCGGTTCATGTATATAAGTTGATTTTGGGTCCCAGGCATAAAGAGTGCCAGATGGTACAGACAATTGATTCCACATTGGATTTCCTTTGGTGATTGCTTCATAGGTAGCCATAAACATATGAGGAAGCACATTTGATTGCACAACCTGAAAACAGCACGACAAGACCAACATGAATTTTCGATCCCTCGACTTAAATAGTAGAAACTATTCTTGTGAAAGTCATTCCTTTCAAAAAATAAAAAAAATTATAACTCACCGTTGCTACTTCTTCATTGGATGGCCAGATGTCCCTGAAAAATATCTTTTTCCCATCTTTTCCCACCCCAATTGGTTCTGTTTTGAAATCGATATCTACCTGCAGAATTGCAAACAAATGAGATTGCACCAAAACTCAAAAGTTATGAGCATAAAATCAGCTCATGTATAGCATAAAGATGCATACAAAATAACATGATACAGAATGTAACAACTGTCTCTGTAAGAGTTTGAGTTCCATACCGTTCCAGCAAGTGCATAGGCAACAACAAGGGGAGGAGAAGCAAGATAATTAGCCCTTGTTAACGGATGCACACGACCCTCAAAATTCCTATTTCCAGATAATACAGCCGCAGCTACAACATCTGTATGTGTGCAGAAAAATCAATAACTTAGTGACCGTGCAAGACTATAAAGTAGCATTTGTATATGCACAAACTGTAGAGAATATTACCATTTTCTGTAATTGCAGACGCTACTGCATCATCAATATCTCCTGAATTCCCAATGCAAGTGGTGCATCCATACCCAACAATATGAAACCCTAACTGATTCAAATACTTCTGCAACCCACTGCAGAACAATAAATGACTTAGGAATACATCACAAGAGTTGCATTTATTCCAAAGTTGTAGCATAGAGTCTTAAAATTACCTTTTTTGCAAGTATTTGGTTACAACCCCAGAACCGGGAGCAAGACTTGTCTTAATCCATGGCTTGACCTAATAAAAGGCACCAAAATAATGCAAAGATAGTTAATAAAAAATTCACTATGTTGACCAACGTTATACAACACAGAAATAAAACTAATCTTTCAGTTATGTGACATCAAAAGTATTCAGTAGACTAAGAAACACGGGGACATCAATTTAACCCGCAGAATGCAGGCACACATTTTGTTAATCACATGGAAGGCAAATTGGAAATGGACTCATTCTAAATAGCCCACCGCAAGTTTTTATCTGACACGAAATTCATTATCCGTAACATCATTTTATTCTACCCCTATAGACCAATCCTCTTGTAACTTTTTCCCCTTACTATTATCCTAAAACGAATTAAATAAACATGAGAAATGAGCCATAATTAGAGACATCCAACCTCCAATCCTAAATCACAAGCTTTCTTTGCAACCAAAGCAGCTCCAAGCATTACACTAGGATTTGAGGTGTTTGTGCAACTGGTGATAGCTGCAATAACAACATCCCCATGCCTAAGCTGTGCTGGGGTTCCGTGAAAATCGAATTCTACGACTTTACTTTGAGATTCTTTTGGCACAGCAAAACCCTGCAATGCATTGTAGGAAACATAAGCTCTTCAAGAAAAGGTTTTCTTACGTGAACATTAAACTATAAAGTAATCAATTACGGAACATCCAAATGACCCCCACAATTTCCAAGCAGTTCTGAATGAAAATTCGTGTCAATTTATGGCACTTTCTCACCTTAAATCCAACTCTATTGTCAAGGCATGCATGCCAATCCACTTTCATTTCTTTCAATGCAACACGATCATGTGGCCTAGAAAACATATGATTCTCAGTGTCATCACAAAAGATTGAATTCAATGAAGTGTGCAAGTTGGCTTGATTTACCAAGAAATCCTACCTCTTTGGACCTGATATGCATGGTTCCACTTCATTAAGATTTAGCTCGAGATATGAGGAGTACACTCTCTCGATCTGGGGCTGTGTTGACAAAAATATTCACTCAGAAGTTCAGAACCCATATTATAGAAGATTTTGAATAGGAAGGTAGCAAAAATAGTGGGTGCACATATCTCACCTCATTGTAGTCAACAAACATCTTATTAGCCCGTAAATAGGATTCTATCAGAGCGACCTGCATGGTAACTTTTATCTCAACATACAAACAAATGAACAAGAAAAATGAAACGGTGTTTAAACAAGAAGTTACCTTGTCATCACTTCTGCCAGTAAGTTTTAGATATTGCAGGGTGACATGATCCACAGGGAAGAAGCCCATGGTTGCACCATACTCAGGAGACATGTTAGCAATAGTGGCACGGTCTGCTAGTGACAATTCACTCATGCCTTCCCCTGCAAAAGAGAGCAAAGGCCAATATCTGATGTGAGAAGAAATGGAAACCAAGCACCAGCCGAAGCATCTATCATCGAGACACCAGTACAACTAGATAACATGATTAAGCATACGGGTTTACCATAGAACTCCACAAACTTGCCAACAACTCCATGCTTCCTCAACATTTGAGTTACTGTCAGAACCAAGTCAGTAGCTGTCACACCGTCTCTCAGTTTTCCTAATAATTTAAACCCAACAACACCAGGCAGGACCATGCTCATGGGCTGTATAAAAATAAAAGAGAGAGAAGAAAAAAAGAGTAAATGTATATTTCTGGATAAGAAAGTGTGCGGCAATAAAACTCAAGTTGTACAGTAATACTAGAGTCAACATAATCAAAAGAAGACATCAAGTTATTCATCAAAAATAGCAGGCAAGGATCCATGGATGCACTTCTTTACCTGGCCAAGCATAGTGGCTTCTGCTTCGATACCACCCACACCCCAGCCAGCAACACCTAATCCGTCTATCATAGTTGTGTGTGAATCTGTCCCAACAACACTATCAGGATAAAGCAAGCCGTCTGTGTTGAACACAACTCGACCAAGGTATTCCAAATTAACCTGCAATTAGCATTTCATTTTGTATATCTCAGGTTAGAATTCTGGAATAATATATTACAGGTTAACATTTGTGTTCTCCAAATCGATTGAATTACCTGATGAACAATCCCTGATCCAGGAGGAACAACAAGCATGTTATGGAAAGCATTTGATCCCCATTTCAGAAAACCAAACCGTTCTTTGTTTCGCTGGAACTCAAGTTCCATATTTGCCTGCACTGCATTTTCTGATCTTGCAATATCTACTTGAACCGAGTGATCAATGACAAGATCTACTGGGACCTGCATTCATGAGAAGCCAATGTAGATTCTCTTTGAAACAGTTAAAAAGAAAAAAAAAAAAAATCAAATGGCATGCTTGTAATGCAACCTGAAAGACAGTCAAGTTATTATAAACAAGAAATGCCAATGCGAAACAACGATGCACGCATATATGTAGCTCACCAACGGGTTAATCTTGTTAGAATCCCC